TCATATTATTCTTTCTATATCGATTGATACAGGTTTGAATTTATCTTCTATTGCTCAGCTTATTGCCACATATTGCTATATATAGTTGTGTCATGTAGTACAACCAATTTTCATTTTTTATAGTAATAGTTATACATATGCATGTAGACGGGATAAGGTAGACCTAATTATGCGTGTGGGAGATTTTAAGCTTGAACTTTAATTGTTATAGGTGGTGTTGAGTCTAACTTTTGATATTATTATTAGTATAGATTGATTGCAGCACAAGTTTACTCAGCACCAATTCATCAAGTATTTAATTTCCAAGCTTGTTTTTATAACAAGAAGTCTTATATTATTCTTTCTATATTGGTTGATAAAGGTTTGAATTTATCTTCTATTGCTTGGCTTGCTGCCACATATTGCTATGTATAGTTGTGTTATGTAATACAACCAATTTTCATTTTTTATAGTAATAGTTATACATATGCATGTACACGGAATGAAGTAGACCTAATTATGCATGTGGGAGATTTTGAGCTTGAACTTTAATTGTTATAGGTGGTGTTGAGTCCAACTTTTGATATTATTATTAGTATAGATTGATTGCAGCACAAGTTTACTCAGCACCAATTCATCAAGTATTTAATTTCCAAGCTTGTTTTTATAACAAGAAGTCTTATATTATTCTTTCTATATTGGTTGATAAAGGTTTGAATTTATCTTCTATTGCTTGGCTTGTTGCCACATATTGCTATGTATAGTTGTGTTATGTAATACAACCAATTTTCATTTTTTATAGTAATAGTTATACATATGCATGTACACGGAATGAAGTAGACCTAATTATGCATGTGGGAGATTTTGAGCTTGAACTTTAATTGTTATAGATGGTGTTGAGTCCAACTTTTGATATTATTATTAGTTTAGATTGATTGTAGCACAATCATGGTAAGTGTGATTTTAAGGCTTCTCCCCTTTGTCTCATATTTCTTCACATTTCTTCCATTATTCTCACTTTTATTCCCTTTCATCCCTTTGTTTCTATCACTTTTGCCTCTTCATTATTTCTTACTGTGTTTCAATTTTGCTTCTCTATTCCCTTTCTAGATTCCTTTGATAGTCATTATGTTGTAGTGGTGGACAGACTCAAGAATGAGTATATTAATCTTTTTGATTTTGACTTGTTTTCTAGGGCCAAGATTGCAACACCTCATCCTATTCTAACTGAGGATGAGCATCTAATCAAAATTATTGTTTAGTATCAGTCACTAAAGGAAATTAAGATTTTACACACAAATATTAAAGAGATGTTAAAGACATAGAATGTCATCTTATGATGGGAGTGTTCATTTCTATATTAACTGAATTTAATGCTAACTCTATGGTTAAACTCATTATAAGACTTTTTTCTTCATCCCACATCAAAGTTAGAGATTGAAATTACTAGAGCAAGAAATTTGGGTTATATATATATGATGTAATATATATCACCAACATATTTAATAATCAAATAACAATAATAAAATAATAAATTATTGGTTTTCCATTAAGATAAAAAAATTGTAGTTATATATGTCAATGTCGTGGTAGAAAAAATAAAGGATTGTAAGAATTCAACTTTTCTCAAAACAAATATCATGCATCATGATGCCTTAGGCTCATGAAGGGAAAAGGATTAAAATCTAAGCCTTAAGGAGCTTGGGGTTAAGTTGCCAATATTCTAGATGCTGCTAGTATTATGCCTAAAGTTGGATGTTTTGAGTGCTTTAATTGGCAACAACTAATTTTTACAGCCTTGAGTGGGAGGCTCTTGTCTTAAGTTGACCAGCAATTTGAGATGCCTTAGCTTATAGTCAATGCATAGAGTGTAGAAAGTTGAATGTTCAACTGTTGGAACTGTATAGAGCAAGTAGGACTTGAGCAAGCATTTGGTTGTGCTTCCAGATTTGAGTAATTTATTTATCTCTTATATTCTTAACATTCCATATTTGAAGCTATGTAGTTTAATGCTAATGGGATCTTAGGAGATGTATTCTATTGTTCATCTTTCTCACCTCTAGTTTGATACGCTCCCTCCAATTCTTCACTAGAATCACTAAAACAATATTTAATATGGTTCATTGTCATTCTTTCATTCTTTCTTGGATCATATAATAATAATAATAATAATAACAAAAACAACAACAATAACAACATCATATAACCATACTATTTGCAGTTACCGTATGCCAACTACCTTCTTGAAATCGTCCTCAAGAACATAGAGTATGTACTCATTTTTCATCTCCACATTCTTACAAACTTGCTAAAAGTTTTTCTGAATAGCTATAAAGGAATTTATTTTTGGTCAACACTAGTGGGTATATCTAGAATAATCTTGTTCCTCTGATCAGGCTTTGAATTTTAGATTGATAAATATTCTAGAATTTCCCGGATCTTCTATGCTTTTCTATACATTATAAATTAACAAATTATTAATAAATATAATTAAGATCCATATAAATAAATCATATTGTGCAAGTGCAACAGTTTCTAAAGCATTGAATCAAGGAAGCAAAATACTTCTTGCTATAGACAACTCAAGATTGGAAAAAATCTACAACATGACCCTTTTTGTCTTTGACAAAACCCCAAGCTTTGGGACTGCTTCGGACTGGGCAACATATCACCTATGGGATTGGGTCTGGAGATAGTGGAGGCCATGGTGAGCGCTGTATCAGCAGTGGCAGGCAGAGAAACCTATCCAGTCTTACGTAGGAGGTTTACACACATTGAGGATTCCCACAGACAGAGAGAGTGTGTGTTAATACTAAAAATGATCTAAGCGTTTTAAGTAGTTTTATAGTTTTATAATGCTTGAAAACTTTGTGGGGACTAGCTCTTGCCCGAGAGGTTCAGATCATACACTCGCGACCCACTAGGGTAAAAGATCCCAAAATTCCTCTCTGTGCCCGCCCCGGACTTCTCATTCTCGTTAAAGAGGGCAAAGATGTACGTGGGAATCGAAACTCCAGGCCTCTTGGGCGTCCCTTGCGAGCTCGCCACCTTCTTTGCAAGCCTTGCGTTGTAGAGCTGCGCATTGTCAACACTGGCGCCCACCTGGCCGGAATCTCCGGCTGACGGCCACCCTGTCTCGCTGATCACCAGCGGAATATCCCCATATCCTAGCCTCTCCATGGCGGCAAACGTGGAATCCACCATGGCATCCAGCAGATCCCGGTAGCCCAGGCTGCCGTCCTGTACGACCGTGGACCCTGACCCAAACAGGGCGTACTCAAGCGAGATTTGGCCAGAGTTCCCGGCGTAGGCGAAGTACGGATAAACGTTGGCGTGGTACGATGAGCCGGTTTTGGCCAGGAATGCGAGCAACGGCTGGATGACGCTGGTCGCGATTTCGGAATGGAATGTGCCAGCCGATGGAGGGTAGGATGTGGAGAGAGCGTCGGACGCGAGCGGCGTGCTGACCTTGATTTTGGCCGTTAGATTCCTGGCCTGGAGGGACGCGAAAATGTTCTCCATTGCCGGGACGAGCGCTGGCCAGGTGCTCGACTTGATGCTCGTGTCGGACAGGATCTCGTTGCCGACGAGAATGGTGGCGATGTGCGTGGCCGGGTAGTGGTGGACTACGTTCTGAGCGACCCATGAATCGGCGTGGCTAGCGTTGGAGGCGATGCCGGGGATGTCTTGGTTCCTCACCATTATCGAGACTTTGATGCTGGTGTTGGCCAGAGCTGCGAGAACTTGAGAGTCGGCATCGAAGATCTTGACGCGGTCGATTCCCAGCGACTTAATGAGCGACACGGCGGTGGATGGCGAGGGGAGATTGTTGGCCACTCT